CTCTGACTGTACTGCTTTGTAACAGATTGGTCGGTACGTTTAAATACGAGCTCCCCGTATCCCATAACCCATTCAAATATTATTCTTAATCCTAGCATCTTAAGTATGGCAAGAGTTACCTTAATATTTCTTTTCAGAGTGCATATAAACAATTGTATCACAGGATGCGTCAGTTCAACTCGAGCAAATAATCTCAGCCCAGCTGTCTTTGTTATACTCTGCTACTCTGGTATTTCCCTTCAGAGCGCGTTTTGTTTGTATACCCCCGTTTACAATCACAAGGCAACGTTAGTTCACAACACTTTGATTAACACATCAGTGATTCGTTCCTGAATTCATGCATAAACTGTCTGCGAGAGATCCCGGAAGACGAGCCCCCATTATGTTGTATATGTTGGGTATGAAAATTTGTTATGTTGTATGCGTGCGTGGGTGAATTATTATGTTGTATGTGTGGGTTATGAATATTCAGTGGAAATAATAATAATTAAATGAAATTTGGCCAAATGTGTAATTATCCGGAAATATGTTAATTATGTAATTACGCACATTTTAATTATGCCAATTCGAGAGGTAATCGTATTAATTATGCGAGTGGGTGTAATTATGATAACGCAAGTCGTTATGATAACCAGACCCCGGTTCACCCCGTTATCGCTTTAACATTTACTGAGTATGTATTAGTGTGTTTATTAAGGTCACCAAGTTCAAATCTCAACGCAGAAGCAGATCTTATGCATAGATTTCAGGAAAGAATCACACAACCACTTCTGTATTGATCAATTTATTACTAATTCAACCTTAACTATGATATAGTATGCGAACTCTCAATCCCGGAACGTCAATACGGCATCAATACAGTATCATCAACGATTGTCTGATTTCACTTTGACAACTGCACATGGATCCCGCATAACGCGATGGTTGTTAGTGAGAGAGAGAGTCGTTAAAACATGCAAATACTATGCTAAGAAAACCTTAACGTTAATGAATGATTATACTCAATATTGTTCACGCAGTACCGCACTCCTTATTGATCATACGCAACCCTTATCACGTTGTTAACACCTTGGGTCACGGGACAGTTGAATATTCTGTAGAGGATGCGAGTACGTGCGGCGATTATGACTGAAGGATACTTGAAAGATTATACGGCGATAAAAAAAAAACACAATCAAAACAGTTACTATTCTTAAAGGCACCAATCTCAACAGATACATCGGCAGGTTATCTGACAGCAGAACGGCTCGGAGTAAGGGCCTGCGACGGTGCTCCTTTTCCGAAGATCGTTATCTTATACCAAGTTTACTAATTGGGGACCAGATCACCTGATAAGGATCCGGTGGGCCACCACTCCCCACGTGAGCGTGGCTCGGCGGAAGGAGGTGCCAAGAATCAGTTCGTATTGATGGATCTGTTGGGAATTTATGCGATTAAGAGTACAGCCCACTAAATATTAAAGATAAAAATTAAGAATACTCTTATACGACGGAGGCCACCACTCGGTCTCGTTGTGATGCCTTCCCAGCCACGGATGACTTATGGGTTCGAGTGTGTTTGAGTGGTAAGAGTTGTCTTGAATAGTCAGTGTTCGGAGTCGATTCTTTATGTCAAACAGACGCCTGGTGGTCGTGTGGTGAGGGGGCGGTGCGCGTCATACGTATCAGGCGCTCCCCTGTCACCGTGGTGAATTGGCTCGGATGGCTGTTGATACGCTGTCGCAGTTCGGAACCCGGTCGGTAGGTGGCGCCCACAACTCGCTCGTAGCGTGCAGCGCTGGATCGTCGCCAAGTCGCGACGCTCACCACCGGCGGCAGCGGAGACCTCCGGCGGCAGCAGAGATTGACGAGCTGAAGATGAGTCGAGCCGACCCGCTGGTCGCAGCTCGCTCCTGAGTCGACCCTCCCGGTCGAGCTCGCTCCTGGGTCGGCCCGCTGGTCGCCCTCGCTCCTGAGTCGACTCTCTGGTCGCACTCCTGAGTGGACCCGCTGGTCGCGCTCCTGAGTGGACCCACTGGTCGCACTCCTCCTGAGCCGACTCTCCCGGTCGCGCTCCTGAGTGAACCCGCTGGTCGCACTCGTTCCTGAGTCGACCCTCCCGGTCGAGCTTCTGAGTGGACCCTCCCGTCGCACTGGTTTCCAATGTTCAGGATCCGTTCCTTTATGCTGAAAAATCCCCCTGGATCCCGCCCACAAGGCGGGGCTTCCGATTTTTGCTGTGTCAGGATCTGTCCGTAGGCAGGTGTGTCCATGTGTGTGTCCGTATGTCCTTGTGTGCATCACTGACGGTATATTCCGTTGTCAACTCCCTCCATAAAACCCACGAGCAAACAACCAGATGTTACAAATTGTCTCGAAGTCGTCTCTCTGTCTGGGTGCAATTTATCTCTTGTCTGGCCTTCTTCATGAACCCAAAACACAGACGTTACAAATCGTCTCATAGGCGTCTTTGTTCGTGTTGCACAACCTGGAGGGAGGGGCAACACTCTCTCCGACCCGGCGCACAAAGAAATGGTTAAAAGTTTTAAGTTAACATTTGTCCCTTACTATTTCACAGTTATGATTCTGTATGTAACCTAAGGTCTGTCGTTTCCCATCGTGGTTCCCGACCCAAGTGTAGGTGTTTCCCCGAGCGTACACACACTCCTATCCCGCGCTGCGGGGATACAAAGACGGCCGGGATCTCCCTTTCTCTCCGACCCTGGGTTTAACATTGTTTTTTTTTTTATTATGTATTTATATTCGACCTGGTGGTGATTCATCCCGTTATCCTGGCTTTTCCATAAGTTTTACTTTTGTCTTTTCATGCATATACTTATTACTATTAATTTATTTCCGATATCTTAGGTTAAGGGGTAAGTTTCTTGATCCTAGGAATTCGTATTCCTTGGTGCCTGGATGGTTATATAAGCGGAATATAGTTTACGGTGAATAGCAGTTAACATTGATGTTATGTGCGATATTATGTATTGTGATGTCTTTAACTTAACTTGTTTGTCAGGGCTTTACTGACACGAAGTTGCATTCCATAGCCCGCAGTCTTTGCCCCACCCTATCTCTGCTCGCCGTTGTTGTTGCCTGCCGTTAATTCAAGGCCTCATTAATTTCCGTCACCCCTGAGTAGGTGAGGGCGGTTGAACCTTGGAGTCAGTTCTGGTTTTTGTCTGCCTGCTTCTTCTTGTGTCCCCTGACCCCGGGAGTTATTATTCTACTTTATGGCCTGTCGAAGCCCCACTCGCTGTTGCTGGGCTGGTGTTGTTCCCGGCTTTTTGCTTACGTTTGCAGTTCGCCGTGCTCTTGATTCCCTTCCCTCTTCAACCTTATATTGACTATTCGCTCCTGTCTGGGTGCGATTCAATTTTGACTTAGGAAGGTTCTGATTGTCATATGCTTCGGGTCGAATTGTATAGAAAGTATTGAAGTATGGAAATAACATTTCATATTGACTTAATAATGGTGATGGTTCAGTAGGCGTAACTTGTGGCCTGGTTTAATTGGAGTGGGTGTGAATATCGATAACTTTAGCCTACCCTGTTGTTAAATTCCGACTTTAACGTTACTTTAATAGCAATACAGAATAATTGAGCTTTTTGTCTTAACTAGGCGAATGCGAACTTCTGGTGACCCCGCAGCCTTGTTGTTCAGCTGGGTCTGCCTCCTTGAGAGATATACACCACTCTTATTCTCGTCTCACTGTGGTCATCCAACCTTCTGCTCTGGGAGTGTTATTCTTACTTTCAGGTCAAAGGCCCCCTCACGTTCAGACGTGCAGGGTTGTTTACATCAGCTCCCCCCCTGTGCACGTGTTCTAACTAGCTCGGAATCCCTGAACACACAATCAGTGATGATTCCTGGCTTTCTGTGGTTGTGATTTAGACAAAGGCGCCTCTGTTTCTTCCATTGCCTTTGAGTCGACACTGCCCTATTATTTGCCCATGTGCTGAGGTCATAGAATTCGTTTTGACTTCAGTAATATTAACATTCAGTATTGGATTAGCAAATGGGCAATGGTTCATTTATGTAGCTCGCAGCCTGGTCTCCAATTTGAGCGAGCGCGAGGATCGATAATTTAGCCTACTCTGTTGTTGAATTTCGAATTTTGACGTTACTTTAAAACCATGCAGGATGGTTGGGCTTTTTGCCTTAACGATGTCTGGCTGACACTCCCACTGTCTCTGCCGCCTGCACGGGTGACATGTGCCCGTTCATCAGGCCTTATCTTTCCTTGAAGCAAGGTTGCAAATTCTGCCATCCTAGCCCTCCTCCAGTTCATTACTTAACAACACCTGGTGTTTTGCAGTTTGCTGCGCTTGGTGTGTTTCACTCATTAAAAAACAAGTAAAAAGATAATATATATAAAAATCATCAAATATTATTAATCTCAATTATGGAAGAAGGGTTAGGATACAACACACCCACTCACCTACTCACCCACTCACCCACCCACCCACTCATCCACCCACCCACTCATCCACCCACCCACTCACCCACCCACCCACTCACCCACTCATCCACCCACCCACTCACTCACCCACTCACCTACTCACCCACCTACTCACCCACCTACTCACCCACTCCCACAAACCACACACTGCAGGTCACCTCACTTATTTTTCTGCTTTTTCCCTCGCACTGCTTCACTTTGGAATTCTCTCCTCTCATCATCATCTCTTCCCAAGTTCTTATAATGATAATAACCTCACTCAATTAAAAAGTATGTAAACTCTCACCTCGTGCAACTTTGATGGTGCTGTTTGTTGTTGGCTGCTTGGTCTTTTGGGGCTGTACTCAGCAACCGTGTTAATAAATAAAACATGTACCCACTCTTGTAAGGTAAGGCTGGTAGAGGTCAGATCGAAGGGATCAGGCAGGGGGGTCAGACCAGGTGGGTCAGGCCAGGGGTGGTCAGGCCAGTGAGATTGCGCTGTGGGGGGAGAGGAGTTAAACTGGCAGGGGTCAAACCGGAGGGGTCAGGCCAGCGTGACCGTGCGAGCGACTCACGGGGTCAGTGAGCATGGCCTTGCAGTGCGAGGCGACGGCGAGCAGGGCGAGGGCGTTGAAGAGGGTGCCGTTGAACAGCGCGTACGGCACGCTGGCCGGCAGCAGCAGCACGAAGGTCACCACGAACTCGGCGTACACGACGAGCATCCAGGTGATGACGGCGCACGTGATGCCGCAGCAGTCGCGGATGAACCAGCCGGCGCGGCCCATGTCGGGCGGGGGTTGCGCGCAGCGCTCCGGGGCCCGGTACTCGGCGCGCCGCTCGATGTCGCGGTTCGGGGCCCGCCGGCCCCACGTCAGCATCGCGGCCGCGCCTCACCGCCGGGCATCACGGACACCTACGCGGGCAACAACGTCGAAGACACTTGTACCCGGCAACCAGGGTGGCTGTAAAGCTCGAGTAGGTGGCACGTGACCCGTAGCCGCAGCCATAGCGAGCGATATACTGGATGTAGAGTGCCGGGTGCGGAATTATAGTCCAGCTAAAATTAAGGCCCTGGCCTCGCATAGAGACCCACAGTCTCACACGTGGTTGAATTTCTCATGAATATTTTCCGGGTCACTAGTAGACCAGAGTAGGTGGCACGTGACTCTGTAGCCAAGGCCACTGTGAGAGAGCTATGGGGGGATGGTTGGTTTGCAACCCAAACGTTCCAACCACAATACCCAACACAGGAACACAGAAAATTACACCGTGCTCGCCACAGTGACACAGACCAACATTGGCCCGTTTCCTGCTTGTTGCAGAGGTTTGTGGTTTGAATCCGGCGGGCTGCCCTGGTTATTACTGCAGGTGTATTAGCACAATAACACGAGCCATCTGTTTCACAGTGGACATTAAAGGTCCACTGACGTCATTCGAAATGAGTCGGCCATTGTACACCATCGTCAGGGTCAAAATGCTAAATATTACCCGATAACCACACAATTGTGATTACACATAGCAAGATCACTCCTGACTGTCAAGACTACATCCATCTGTAAAGCAAACTGCCTTTGTGATAGCCCTGCGGCTGACCTCACAGTTACACGTGACTTTGAACGCCAGCCAGCAGCTGGGCTGAGATGTGGTCGTCGGCTCTAGAGTTCAGCTCATCGTCTTATTCCGCACAGCCACAGCGCGTCCCTCTTCATTCCCCCAGGGCAATGGGTCATCGCAGAGCCTCACGGCAGCTCTGTGTCTGACGTGGGCGCTGCAAGGGGATTCTCTGATTTGGGAGGGGCAGAAATGTATGTACTTGTGCAATTATACTTCAATACTTAATTTATAATTATTTATTTTTGCGACTTGTTTTTCTCGATCTGGCACTCATATTGTTTTGTGTATTGTTTGTGGATGTAACTCGCTGACCCACCCCTACTGGAAATATGTAAAAAAGTACTTCATAGCTCATCGGATTCTTCCAGGATAAATAAAGGTGACAATTTTGATCCTGGCTGAAACCACGTTAATAAAGGTACACGTGTACAGTTACTGGTATCCTTCAAACTGGGAATAAATGTAGATCGGTTGGGCAGGACACGTCGCTTGAAGGGACACCTATGGTCAAGAATAGTGACAGAGTGGCAGCCAAGGAATGGAACGTGGCCGACAGGACGTTGACGAGGAAGATGGAGCCATGTCATTAGCTCCTCGTGTGCAGGCGTTTGATGGATTCGTGCATCACAGACCCGTGACGGATGGAAACAATGTGGGGAGGCCTTCATTCAGCAGTGGATTGCTCATGGATGTGGATGATGATGATGGTGATGAGAGTCAAATGAGATGGAGCCTCTGATTTTGGATGAACATTTCATCCGCTTTAAAGAAGCGGATAAACGTGAGTGTAACCCTGAGAAGACTTCTTAATTGGGCATTGTATGTCAACCTATTAGAACCGTAGTTCACAGCATACACCACCAGCACAATCATCACCACAACCACCGCTACCACCACCAGCACAATCATCACCACCAGAAACACTCAATCACTACGACCACCACCTCAACCATTACCCCCAGCACCATCAGTACCACACTCATCACCAGCACCACTACCACAATCACCATTAGCATCACCACCACAGCCACTACTACCGCCAGCACCCGTCAGTACCACAATCATAACAACAACCATCATCACATTTACAACGACCACTACCACCGCAACCATCACCACAACCAGAACGACCAGCACCAAGCGGCCCACTCACCCGGGGTGGTGGAGGAGGAGGCCGATGGAGCCCGAGCCCCGTGGCGTGTGGGCTGAGGCCCGCGCGAGCCAGGACCGGGCTGTGGCACACACAGGGCAGGGAGTCAGGGCAGGGTGTGAGGGCAGGGAGTGAGGGCAGGGAGTGAGGGCAGGGTGTGAGGGCAGGGTGTGAGGGCAGGGTGTGAGGGCAGGGTGTGGGGGCAGGGAGTCAGGGAAGGGTGTGAGGGCAGGGAGTGAGGGCAGGGAGTGAGGGCAGGGTGTGAGGGCAGGGTGTGAGGGCAGGGTGTGAGGGCAGGGTGTGGGGGCAGGGAGTCAGGGAAGGGTGTGAGGGCAGGGAGTGAGGGCAGGGAGTGAGGGCAGGGTGTGAGGGCAGGGTGTGAGGGCAGGGAGTGAGGGCAGGGTGTCAGGGCAGGGTGTGAGGGCAGGGAGTGAGGTCAGGGTGTGGGGGCAGGGTGTCAGGGCAGGGTGTGGGGGCAGGGTGTCAGGGCAGGGTGTGAGGGCAGGGAGTGAGGGCAGGGTGTGGGGGCAGGGTGTGTGGGCAGGGGGCGTGGGCAGGGGGTGTGGGCGGGGTGGCGGGGCAGGGGGTGGGGGCAGGGTGTGTGGGCAGGGTGTGTGGGCAGGGTGTGTGGGCAGGGAGTGAGGGCAGGGAGTGAGGGCAGGGAGTCAGGGCAGGGTGTGTGGGCAGGGTGTCAGGGCAGGGAGTGAGGGCAGGGTGTGTGGGCAGGGAGTGAGGGCAGGGTGTGTGGGCAGGGTGTGTGGGCAGGGTGTGTGGGCAGGGAGTGAGGGCAGGGTGTGTGGGCAGGGTGTCAGGGCAGGGTGTCAGGGCAGGGAGTGAGGGCAGGGTGTGTGGGCAGGGTGTGTGGGCAGGGAGTGAGGGCAGGGTGTGTGGGCAGGGTGTGTGGGCAGGGAGTGAGGGCAGGGTGTGTGGGCAGGGAGTGAGGGCAGGGAGTGAGGGCAGGGAGTGAGGGCAGGGAGTGAGGGCAGGGAGTGAGGGCAGGGTGTGTGGGCAGGGAGTCAGGGCAGGGAGTCAGGGCAGGGTGTGATGACAGGGCAGGGTGTCAGGGCAGGGTGTGAGGGCAGGGCAGGGTGTGTTTGTACCAGGCTAGGTGTCCACGACGAGGAGTCGAGGCCCAGTCGCCGGACTCTGCAGTGAGCACGGGCGCGCGAAACTCCTCACGCATCAACCACCACCACAACCACCACAGGACCACCACCACAACCACCAGCACCACCACCACACCACAGCACTACAACAGCAGCACCACCACCACCACAGCACTACCACCACCACAACCACCACAGCACCACCACCACCACCACACCACCACCACCACAGCAGCAGCAGCAGGAGCGGCAGCAGCAGCAGCAGGAGGAGCAGCAGGAGGAGAAGCGGCTTCCGCTGCGAGGAGGGGAGCGCTCGAGGCCGCGCTGCTTCCGAGAGGCGGCGGCGGCGGCGATGACGCCGGGGGGGAGGAGCCTGGGACGTCACGTGGACGTCACGAGTACGCGACGCCGTGACGGGGCCGGGGGACGCAGAGCACGTGGAGCCGGCGCCAGGGGGAGACGAGAGGAGGTGGTGGAGGAGGTAGAGGTGGTGGAGGAGGAGGAGGTAGAGGTGGTGGGGGTAGTGGAGGAGGTAGAGGTGGTGGTGGAGGTAGAGGTGGTGGAGGAGGAGGTGGACGTAGAGGAGGAGGTGGACGTAGAGGAGGAGGTGGACGTAGAGGAGGAGGTGGACGTAGAGGAGGAGGTGGACGTAGAGGAGGAGGTGGACGTAGAGGAGGAGGTGGACGTAGAGGAGGAGGTGGACGTAGAGGAGGAGGCGACATGGCGGCCCTGCTGCTGCTGAGCGAGGCGGAGAAGGCCTTCATCGTGCACGGCGTGCAGGCGAGTGCAGCTCCCCTACCGCCTGTTATGAACACTCGACTAGTCTGACCATACTTCACCACGCTGGTCAGTGCAGCTTGGTGGTGACCGAGGGGACGGCGTAGTACAGCAATGGGTTCTCGCTTGATCAGAATCATTCTTTAGATTGGAAGAATCCGATGAGCTATGAAGCTCTTTTTCACAGACGTCCACCCGCCTTGCAGATGCGCGGTAGATGTCGATGTCCAGTCGCGGCTAACGGCATCGGCGAGTGATATCGTGCCGGCCCCATCCACTTCACCAATCCGCACTGACCAGCGTGGTGAAGTATGGTCAGTGGATTGATGAATGATTGTAAAGTGAACATTGGCGTCGAACGGATTATTGTAGGAGCAGGAGAGATGGCGACAGAGTGGGTGGCCTCTATCCAGCAGTGGCTAGATCATGGCTGATGATGATGGTGGTGAGGGAGCAGCATCGGCGTGCAACGCTCCAATTGTCCTCTCTGCTCGCGGTTCCGTGCGGCCGTCTCAGGACGGAGTCCGCGGGGACGGGAGAGGATGCGAGGACTTCCGGGTGGTGGAGCTGGAGACCGAGGTGGTGTCCAACACGAGCGGCTCCGCGCGCCTCCGCCTGGTGAGCGCGGCCTCCGATGAGCGCGGTTGGCTACGTACGGTGCGAATGAAGTTCAGCACGCGGCGTCCATGCGTGTGACCCAATGCGCGGGTCCTGACGCCTTCCCCGTGCGCTCTTGGCCAGGCTGCTGGGGCACGTGCCGTGAGCGTGCGTACAGCACCTGTTGTGGCACACGAGGGGGTGGCGTGGCCAGCACCAACCCAACACTGTTGTACAAATGAGACGACACAAACTAAAGCAATGCCAACCACAAGGTCGAAACTAAATGTAAACATTATTTGTGATTTAAATTGCAAACTCCGAAATGTAACAGTGGCATAGCCATTGAGTGTGCAGACACGGCATCTGCACCTGGGCCCAGAGGGGTCGAGGTGCCAGGGTTTTGAGAGGGGAGGTGCGAATCAGACAGCGGTGGGTCCCCATTTAATGCCTTACACGAGGGCCCATGCCAACAACGCTACGCCACTGTGGGTCAGTCCATTGCCTCTCTCACTGGTGGGGGTGGTGACTGAGATACAGCATCCACACGCGCCTCCTAGACCATAGCCAGAGTGGACAGTTTCATAAAGGTGTGAATGTGTCCCTTTACACTGCGTGGTTAAGACAGTGCTGACGAGTCATGGAGAGAACATGGCAGTGTTGTAGGTACATTTAGGCGCACACGGCTGTTCTAAGTGTGTGTCGGATGGGTGAGACGGGCATTGGAGTGGTCTCCACGAATCCGACGACCAAGGGGAAGACGCAGATCTTTGAGGTCACGTGGTTGCTGTGCAGTAGCTGTGGGATCTGACGGAGGGTAAACCGCGTTGGTGATGCCGTAGCATCGACGCCTTGGGCCACGAGGACATCTTGATCTTTACTCCGCAGGGTCAGACGGACGTATTGGTGGGAGTGAAGGCCGAGCTGGGCTCGCCGCGTCCGGACTGCCCTGACGAGGGATACCTGGAGTTCTTCGTCGACTGGTGAGAGGAGAGGCCGACGGAGGCGTAAGGAAGCGCGCCACCCGCAGCTCCTGCTAATGACGCGCTTTCTTACACCTCTCTTCCACCGTGCAACAAAGCCGTGGCCTGGGGAGGTCTTCATCCAGCCGAGTGTGAAGCACAGCTACTGCTGCTGCTGCTGATATCCTGAAAGAGATCGTCGGGATTATGCAGCGCTCCAAATTACTCAATTGGGATTACAAACGTCAATCATTGCCCACGACCGGCAGGTAAATGACCAGTTGCTGAGCTGTCTTGTACTGCGCAGGGACAGCTGCCACTGGGGGTGCCCATTCAATATCTTAGATGAGATGCAAGTCTCATATCACGTGCAAAGCACTTAGACTCCCCGGCGTGAAGGGCGCTCTATCAAAAACAAATGAACGCTTGGCACCGTGTTTTACTGCACCACCAGCTCCGCCAACGCCACCCCAGAGTTTGAGGGCCGGGGCGGCGAGGAGCTGAGCCTGGAGATCTCGAGCGCGCTGCAGCGCTCCTTCGCGCACGCCGGCTGTCTCGACCTGCGCTCGCTCTGCATCCTCCCGCGCCAGCAGTGTTGGGTGCTCTACGTGGACGTGCTGGTAAGACAACATTCGCGTCAACGTTCGCCCACGTTCAATCGGATTTGAAACTCGGCGTACAGTCAAAGGGTTGAAAGGTCGGCAGCCAAAGCATTTGTGCTGGGTCGGGTCGGCAAGCGTGCAGCGAGCGACGGTAAGTTGAGTCGGCATTGAGCACCGCGTGCGTTTGTCGTTACACCGAGCGGCGACTATTTCGGAAGCGCGGTACAGGGCGTGTCTGTCCTTGTCGTCAATTGTTTGTTATCTCCCGGTCAGCTGCTGGAGTACGGGGGAAACGTGTTCGACGCCGCCTCCATCGCCGTCAAGGCCGCGCTCTTCAACACCAGGTAGCGGCGACGCTCGGCCTTCGCATTGACGTTCACCGCGGCCGGCGTGGCTCCGGCGCGACGGCTCGCGAGCGTCGCCTCGCCAGCTCTGCGGCACGAGCGCCCCTCGTCGAGTGTGGAACCTTCCCTTGCGGAGGGCCGGACGCCGACTTTCAAACGCTTTTGGCGGTTAACCACGGCGTTAACTCACAAACTGGGCCCGGTCACTTCTGTCACTGTCAGAGGCCCTCTCTGACAGTAAACAGTGTTGCTGCCAGGTTGGAAATATTCCCACTCTAGTACCCGATTAGTGCAGCCAAGATGCTAATCGTGATGGATAAGTATCGCTATATTATGAATAAGTATCGCTGTTTGCGGGACCTTGTAAAGTTGCAGGACTCGCGTGGCCGTAGGCCACGTGGCATTAAGCCGCCGGCCGGAGGTTCCCCCCCCGACGTAGAACGCGTTCCGCCACGCTGTTTGACCGTCGCTGCGATGGTCGCGTTGGGTGGCGTCGCGCGCAGGATCCCGACGGTGCACGTGAGCGAGGACGAAGAGGGCGTGCGGGAAATCGAGCTGTCCGACGACCCCTACGACTGCGTGCGCCTGGAGGTGGCGCGCGTGCCGTGCATTGTCACGCTCAGCAAGGTGAGCGGCGGCGATGTGGCCGCCACAACCACAACAGCGGCACAACGTGGATGTACCCAGCGGCGCTCCGACTGGGACCGCATCTCCAGCAGCGGGACAGAAACGGCGAGCGTGTTTAATTTATAGAGGAGACGGACGGTCACTCGTAGGCAAACGGGAAAATCTTGGGCCTTGCATTGAACGGGGGCAGGGATTCGACAGCACGGATGGCTGGGGGAAGGTAGTTCTAGATAATGGGGGCAGCTGAGGAGAAATGAGCGACCTCCCACCGAGTGAAGGCTGAGGACTTCGACAGAAGGTGTTGGTTTGCTGGAGTGGAGAGAACGCTTCGAGGGGATATAGAGTGAAATGAGGGGAGAGGTAGGCAGGGGTGAGTGTATGGAAGATCTTAAAACTAGTCGGGTTGGATGAGTAGCCAGTTGAAGGATCAGTCGTGGGTGACGATGCCCACGGTAGCACCTGGCGAAAACTTGAGCAGAAATACTCAAAACCTGCCCAGTGGCCCGACACTTAGATCCGTACAACCGGGGCACGTCGATCAGCGTTATTTTTCTAAAGAACGTACACGCCGCCACGGGGTTCGCTCGCTCGTTTCCCCGTGCGCACGGCTCGCCCCGACCCGCCGCACCAGGCCTCGCCACTCACCTGTGCTGCGGTTCGCCGCCCGTGCCCTCCAGATCGGGGAGCGGCACGTGGTGGACGCGTCGCTGGAGGAGAGCTGCTGCTGCCGCGCCAGCCTCTTGGTGTCCGTGACGGCGGCGGGCGCAATCACCGGCCTACGCAAGGCCGGGCCCGGCAGCCTGCACCCCGACAGCGTGTGTCACATGATCGAGGTGCCGCCCCCTTCCCACACGTTGACCAACGCCTCTCTCTGTAGGTGGTCGCTCCACAGTTGGCTCATCACAGTTCACCTTCCCCCCCCCCACCCATCGCGATTCGATGAATCGCTGCAATTGTGGTTCGTGAGTGGATTTAAGGTTCAGTTTTTATTTAACAGATTCTTGTTCCGCTTCCTTGTTTACAGTTTTGTTGGATCCGTTTGCCTAAACAATATAGAATGGTCCGTCTCGTTTGTGTCGTCTGTCATTTGTAGCGTCTCGTTTGTCTCACCTGCGTTGTCCGTAACTGATGTTCTTTCTCATTTATATTCTGCATCTCGCCCGTCTCGTCTTGTCTCATCGAATGCACATTCGCTGATACTTCGCGTAAATCGTAAACAATCAAATGGAACCCCCTCGAATTTACACGTGAATCCTTAGCGCAAGAATATTAAAATTTCCTGAGTCAATGCTTCCTTCCAGCGTTGCTGTGCAGCAGAGGGCTGCGTGGGCCTCCTGGCGTGGTGTCTTGTCGTTAGCCCAAGCCTCGTGAGTGTAGGGCCCTCTAGTGGGCGTGAAAGTTATAGCAACCCTCACACGCGGCACACGTACACACGCATGCACACACACACACGCATACGCGTACACACGCATGCACACACACGCATGCACACACACGCATACGCACACACGCGCATGTACACACCCACGCGCATGTACACACCCACGCACGCACACACACGCACCCATGCACGCACACACACGAGATTGCCACCGTTCGTGAGCAGTGGGGTTGAGTTGAACCGCTCCTGGCTCTTGATGGTTCACGCATTGCCAAGACACCCAGAGAGCGAAGGCAGTTCCTGTAAACAAGTGGTGGTGGTGAACGTGCGGCCTGCAAGGACGCACCGATCCAGCTTGGCAAGAAGACGATGGGACACATTGCACGAGAGAAACGGGAACACAGACGAGAGGCGATTCTTGAATTGTGACCCTGGATAGTGGCAATGCATCTACACGCTTTTGGGGCGGGGGGTTATTAATTGCAATACTTTACCTACATAATCCCTTAAGATGGAACATTTAGATTGTAAGGGTGTCTAGGGTGTTGAACCGTTGCAACAGCAGCAGCAAGTTAGGATTGGGTAACGTCTGTGACCGCATCTCAAGACGTCGTGCAGAGACGGTGAGACGCATTGCTCCTCGAGCAGTAGAGAGGGTCTGTGGAGACGTCATCGTGAACCGCTCCCGACCGCTCCACGACCTCTACCGCGTTCGTAGTTCACACATTCTGGTAATTCGAATTTTATGAGCACCCCACTGCGGATATGATGGATACTGTGTGTAGTGCATTCGCCCACTTCTTACTCCATCGCTGTGTTGTGCAGTCGCCAACTCTGACTCCATCGCTCTGGGCTCGCTGTGCTATGAAGAAGGGCCATTGCCCGAAACGTGACCTTTTTTTCTTTTAAGGGCACACGGTGTTTTTGATTAACATATTGAGCGTTTGTTATTTGTGCTTGCGTACCACTGCCGCCAGGTTATTTTTGTATTCCAGGCAGGAGTCGTCGCTGAGTGATGTTAAATTCTGTTGGACGAGCGACGGTTTCACCCCTTGATTTGTCGCTGCCGTCTCCGCGTCCAGACCGGCAAGCGAGTGGGCGTGTCGCTGCACAAGGCCCTGGACGCCGTCCTGCAGCACGAGGAGTCGCAGGGCACCAAGAGGGAGAAAGTCGGCTTCCTCGGATGACACGGAGCCGCGCGGAGCTCTCCCACACACACCTGTTTGAATATTTTTTTGCCACGCAATAAACGTCTCGTTTTGTACGTCCGCCGAGTGCGTGGTGGATTTCTCGGCGGCGCGACGTTTGGCCGTGCAGGCGGCGGTGTCTGCAAAGCGGAGGGGGAGGGAGCGAGCGGGGCGATGAGCAGGCAGACGCCGCTGCCAAGTCGCTGGAAAGGAAGTGGCCGTTTCTAAAACCATTTGTTTAAAAAAAAATCGGTGTTTAATCTCAGCGGTGCAGATGCTTGCGGCCAAAAATCCTTCTCTCTGCTGTTGAGTTACGGAGACCCACACGCTCGCTACCCTGCCTCCTTCCCCTCCACAGATGTTCACCTGAAACGCCCTCGGAATACGTCTCTGTCACGTGTCTAGCAACGCTCGCTCGGTAGCAAGCGTGGAGAAAGTTTCCAAAACAGCGATGCCATCTTCCTGCTCGCGGCGCGGGTGGCGCTGTCGTCCGAGGCCGTGACCCGGGTTCCCCTTCACTCCGGCCCCCACTGGACGCCAGCCTCCCCCCATCCCCTCCACCCCCCTCTGACCAACCAGCTCCAGACGGCCACACCCAACTAGAGTGCGGGGCCGTCGCTGCGCACGTGGCTTGGCCCAGCAGCTAATCGTTCACAGATCGAGAAACTTGAATTCCGCCTCGACCCGAGGCCCGGTTATTTGTGCCAAGTTCAATCTTCTGCAGACCTCCCGTTCCTGAGATGCCTGACCTAGCAGGAGTGGCATCGCCGACCCAAGGGGTTTATTTTTCACTTAAATTCCACTTTGTAATGTAAGTTTCACTTCCGAGACGGATGTTGAATGGCGGGGTTGGTGTTATTTCAAGGAATGTAGCCCATAAATATTACACGTTAAAAATGAAAATCATTATTTTTACGCAGCAAGAGAAAGTTTGCCACGTTGTGTGCAAACATTCCAAATCGCGAACTTTATTAAATCGCTGACCGCCGTTTTAAGAACTTTACGTAACGAGTCGAGTTTTGGGACAAGTTGGAAATCATGGGGGGTGGGGGGGGGATCGTGGGTGCCCCCCCCACCTTCTGCTGGCACTCCGCATCTGCCTCGCGTTCCCCCACCTGCCCCAGCGCCGGCCTCATCGGGTCCCGCCTCCCTCCCCCTATGCTGGGAGACATCGAGGCGTGCGCTCGGGGAGAGGGTCTGGGCCACGCGCAGTCCGCGGCCACGCTGGGACGATGTCGACCGCCCGACTGCTGCGCTTCCTCTTGCTGGCGGTGGCCGCCGCGCCCCCGGCCAGCACGCGACCGTTCGGCTTCACCGCTCGCTTGGACGGTAACGAGGCAGAGGGACGTGGCGCACGGACGGCAGGCGGACGTGTATTCCGCAGCGCTGCGCCGTGCATCTTCTGGCTGTCACGCATGCATATATGGTTAACGTTCCTCTGCTAGCGGATGCGGTAAATTGGCAGCGGGATAAGGCCGACATGACAAGACGGACGCCAGATCTCGGTGCCATGCATCCACTGGCCGTCGTGCGCGCGTATTCGGTGGCTGTTGCTGCATCGCACAGGGACATGGGGCAGAGCTGAAACAAGCGGCCGGTGAAGTCGATCGACATTTCTAACGCTGGCCGCGTGGATTTTGCCGGTAACACTCGGTGTGATTCGTGGGGGGGGGGGGGGGGGGGGGGGGTCTCACGCCTCTCTCGGTCGGCTTCCCCAGACGAGACGGTGGAGGAGCTCCGGAAGGAGATCGAGGACATCTGGCTCGAGCTGAAGATGCTGAAGGAGCAGCAGGCCCTGCAGACCGGTAGGAGCAAAAGCCCTTTGCGATGTCACAGCCAGGGATGAAGTGAGACGCCACACCAGCAGTAGGAATTTCAAGCGGATTTGCTGCTCACACAACTCGGCTGTAGCCCAGGCATCGTTTCGGCCAGGCCCCTTCAAAACAACTTCAGTTCTCAGAATTAAACAATTCCGTTCCACCGAATTAGGCTATGTACAAACTGAACAACAGTTTTGTGTTTAGTTTGTACATAATCGGAGGTGCGGGGGAAGGACAACATTGTGAAAGACGTTCGACATACATGCTTAGCTGAGCACATGGGAACATGATGCCGCGTTCCTGTGTGTGGTGGAGGTGAACTGAAAGGATCTCGAAACTAGTTCTGCGATCTCTGCTTCTGCCATTCACTCTACTGATGTCGGGTGATGTGCACTGGTTTGTGAGAGTTGCAGATGGGAACTTTGTCTCACGTCTCATGCAAAGACGCAGACCTGGCTCAAGAGGTCTTTGACGACCTCTACATAACCGAGCGAAAACACAACCCGAGTCAGGGCTCCACGACGTGCCTACTCCGTGGGGTGCGAGTAGAGCGGTCCGTCAGCCATTGCCCCCCCACCCCACCATGCCCCCCTCACCTTGGCTCGCAGTCAGCGTTATCCCCTTTTCCATTGGCACATCGGAGCCGAGCCGGCGCGGGACCCTCGCGAGCAGGTGGCGGCTTGCCACCGGCTATTCGACGAGCTGAACCGGACCCAATCCGTGATCAGCTGGTCTCGCAAGAAATAAAAATCTCGCTCGGGGTCAACCAAGCGGGGCCAGGGATGGGACTCGCGATACTTTCACCGCGTGCGACGTCGGCGGCACGGCTCGGCTTCTGGGTGGAAAGCAACCCGGCGCCTCGTGGCCAAGCACAGCCTTGGCACGGCCCCGACGTGGCGTGCGTGCGCCCGCTCACCCCCCCCCCCCCCCGCAGTGTGTCTGCGCGGCGAGAAGGTGGGCCGCAAGTGCCTTCTGGTGGAGGAGGAGCCGGGCGAGCTGGAGAAGACCTTCTACGAGGCGGGCGAGGCGTGCGTGCATCTCGGCGGCTCGCTCGCCGTGCCGCGCGACGCCGACGAGAACGCCGCCGTCGTGCGCCTCGCCCGCCGGGCCCTGGGCCCCGCCGCCAATGTGTGGGTGGGCCTGAGCGACGTGGCCTCCGAGGGCGCCTTCCGGGACCAGTCGGGCGAGGCGGTGAACTTCACGATCTGGGAGGACGCCATCTCGGGCCAGCCGGACGGCGGGCGGCGCGAGAACTGCGTGGCGCTGTCGGTGATGCTGGACGGGAGGTGGTTCGACGACCCGTGTTACCGTCTGGCGGGCTACGCCTGCGAGTTCGCCGTGCCGTGAAGTCGCCGCTCGCGTCGCTCGCACCGATCCGATCTCGCCGACGTCCTCGAGTTTTGTTTGTAGCTCAGAACGCAAACGCCAATTAACGTAGGCAGTCACTCTACTCTAGAGGTTTGAAGTATATATATATATAAAAAGTTATCCATATATATGACCTATGGCCCAAGTAGGGGCCGTAGTTCAGCTTTGTTGTTTGCAAGCATGGTGGTTGGAATCAGAGGAAGGGGCCGGTTTTTTAAATGTCACGTTCATTGACCAAAGGTTCACCACCCTGAATTATCATTTTGGGCAATTTATCAAATTCAGGCAATGAACACAATCTAAACAGAATTTAGTTGCCTCCAAATTCTCTGAAAATCAGAGACGGTGACTTTTAGGACACAAATCCTCCCGTCTCCCTTAATGCGGCAACGTAAACGCCGAGTTAGACCGACGATGGAACGATCGTAGCGCCAAAACCCCCGTCTCGCCCGGCGCCGGTCGCTGCGTGGCACCAGTAGAATTATTTCACCGTGAACTCCTCTTACCCGTGACACAGCAGCAGGGGCGCAAACTCCACGGACCCAATCTGTAATCTACCCAGAAACCTCTGGGAACCGGTTGCTAAATCGCATGCTTCCGCAGAGTGGCTGCAAACCCTACTCCAGACTTTTTATGAATAAAAACCTCATCAAGCTGACGAGGTGAGGCGTTCTCGCTCTTACTGATGCTGTGCTTCCTGCTGCGCGTTTCATTTACTAAGTCACACGGGACGGCTTCGTTTCGCAGCGGCGGAGAACGAGCTCCGTAGACGTGCGATGATGAAGACTATAAATCGTTCAACAATTCTGCGCATTGAATAGTGTGCGGGAATGTATAATTTATTAAAACGTAATGGCAAACAATACGTTAATATTACACGCTTAAGGCAATGTAGCAGATAAACACTTTGAAAACTAGACGGAAACAATACAAACCAGGAGATACAAATAGCTATTTTCTAATCAAATTGCTGTCCGGGGTCGTGACAGTTCACGCTGGGGCCGGCGATGAGACTAGCACACACGGAGAGAGCTCCGCTTCAGGCGGCCGGCCACACGCGGTGCCAAGTCTACGAAAGCACCTCCTTCGCCAACCACCTCTCAACGTCAGAGGTGGAGTGGAACGATGGCGGCATCGCGGTTTAGCGGCCTGCGCTACGAACCTGACGACCGGAGCGAAATCTGCTCGGCGGATAACATCGGTGGAAAGTGCTGGACTCCCCCGTGCACCCCCCCCCCCCCGTCACCAACCCGGACTGACCCCCGTGGTGCAGCAAGGTCACACAACCTCCACGACCAAGACTACTTGAGGAGGCTTTCGTCCAGCAGTGGATTGCCCATGGCCTGAGAATTATTATTGCCATCAGAGGTCCCGTCACTAGAGCCACGTGGCCTGCGTCTTAAACGCAGGAAGTTTTTTGTCAAACAACCGTTGTTGCTTTAACACTCGGGTCAGGTTGTTGCTGTCGGACCGAGCTACTGCGGCTCCGACGCAATGCAAAGCTATGGGACACGATGGGAATCGGGGTGAACCCACCAATACAGGAGGGCCACCGGAGGTCCCTGGGAGCCCAGCGTAGAATGCCGCGTGCGGTTCCGTGAGCAACAAGGAAATGGCCTTGCTCTGGGTCCCGCGTTTGTGCGAGGCCCACGGAAAATTGCCCCAGATCCCACAGCCCCCCCCCGCCCCATTCTGGGTGGCTGTGGACACGCGCACAAACCCACGCACGCACCCACGCACGTACCCACGCACGCAACCAAACTCGTCCTGCCCCGAGGTGAGGCCCCGTTAGAAGAATAAAAAAGGTCTCGCGACACCGTGCGAAGAAGCCTCCTGGCCCAAGGCACGGCCAACACACCGCCCTCGTCGCCGCCTCTCTCCGGCGAGGACGTCGCGCTGACACGCCCGTCCAGAGTCGGGGACGACCATCTCACCGCCATTCTGCAAATATGAATTCCATCGCATCTCGCCATGAACGTAAATAATCTGGACGTCCGCTAGATATCTTGGTTTGCGGGATGGCGGAACGTCCGAAGCAATCCTTCCCACATGTTTAATCATTTCGGCGGAAGGCGCCGAGGGCGTGCCCTGGCCGAGGTCCAGCGAGGTCGCGTTTGTTTGCCTCGTCTCCGCCCTTCCTGCCGCCCGCGAGGACGACGACGACGACCGCGGCGCGGTTACCGACCCGGGCTGAGCGCCAGCGAGTCGAGCGTCAGCTGTGACACGGAGCGCGGCGCGCCCTCGGCCAGATGCCGCGGCGGCGGCGCCGGCAGGGGGCCTGCGGGCGACACGACGCGAGCGCCGCCGTTAGCGTCGGCGCGGGAGCCGAGACGAGCGCGTGGCGCTCCGGCAGCAGCACGCGAGGAGGCACAGCGTTCCCCTCGCAAGAACGACACAAAATGCCCAAGTGATTTGCTGCTGCTTCATCAAAATCAGCATCGAGGCTCTCAATTCGGTGCTCTCAATTTCTGTTTACATTATTGCAGAACCAGTGGTGAAAATTCCACATTCCTATGGCGGGTACACGTATGTCAACAGGACACAACCACTGTTGACCTCACAGAGTGGTGCTCACTCCTAAGAATACCGAGTGAGAAATGTTTGTTCCAACTACTTTTCATTCAGCAGATTTAACACCCACTAACGAATTCTGGTGTTAAGTGTATATTAACTTATATATATATATATATACACACATAAGTTTACATTCATTAAAAAGCTCAAACATGCTCCGTGACGTACAATAACTGCCCTGGGGGGGGGGGGGGGTTTGGGGGCGCTCACCCGACAGCAACTGGGCAGCCGCGCGAGTGAAGAGGTCAGCACTGGGGTCACTCGGGGTCGCGGGGTCAGCAGCGTTCCTGGAGGTCACGCAGCACGAGGGCTGGGTTAGTCAGCTTCAAGAGCCGCCGCGGCACGCGGACACAGCGCTACCCGCCTCGCAGTCGCACACGAGAGGGAGTCGAGCGGTGTCGCTCGGGAGTGTGCAGGCGGTGCCATTGCACCGAGGGCCACGAGGCTGGGGGGCCCAGGCGTTAGGCTGTGGTGCCTGGGCCTCTCTGGGGGGAGGGGGTGAAAGCAGGCCCGGTGGGGGGGGGGGGGGGGGGGGCATTCAGCTCCTCGTCTTCCATTAGACCCACTCACTCACAAGAGACGCGCCAGGGATCCATTCTCACATCAGAGACTCAGACTCGCAAACACCCCCGGGCTCGCATCGAGACCCATCGTGACGTCGCTGTGGGGCGTGCAGGCGGTGCGAGTGCATCCAAATCCGTGCCCCAGGCAGGGCCCACGGCCCCACGCCACTAGCGCGCCACGCCACTCGCGGGGACTGCGCGAGACGAACCAAGAGGGCTCGAGGGGCCGCGGCATAACGGCAACACCAATGCTTTGGCCCCGTATAAAACGCTTCACCGTTTAAAGTCTTTAACATTTCATTTCTCCTCCGGCTGTGCCTGCAGCGAGCGCTCCGCCGCGGTGTTTGCGCTGCGATTCGGCCACCCCTCCCCCTCCTCGGCAGAGTCAACTTTGTTTGCTTTCGAACAAATCACCCGGAACGCACCAGGCCCCCGTCACATCTCGCGAGCCAAGCAGGCGCTGAGCCTGGACAAGGCGCTCGCACGAGTGAGCACGTGGCGCAGGCTGCTGCGTACGGGGAGCCGCACGTTACCAGGCATTTGCTGTTGTACGGTACTTATGTGGTCCCCGTCTTCGCCAACTCACACTGACCGGCGTGGTGAAGTATGGTCGACGAAGTCTCGCGGTGTGGGGAACCCCTTATCGAGCACTGGGTTGACACAGGGCTGTAACATGCGCAGGTATTTATTGAAGCGTTCCGGCGAGAGGCGCCTCGTGTAATTTGTTTGGTGGTAATGGTGAACTCCGTGGTTAATGTTTGACGAGGGGTTTGTTCTCCTTGAGCAATCATCAAGAGAAGTGATCAAGCAGCCGACGCGCCCTCCAGAAAACACGCACACAGTCACATGTAAACATCGCACACGGAGCAACATCATACAAAGCACTGTGGCACACTCGATGTCAATGTCACATGGCGTTAGCCACTACGCTCTGACCAAACATGTTTCGTGGAAGCCCTCCATCACCGCAAATACCAATCATAAATCATAGCATGGCCTCCAAATCACGCCGAACTCCACCACGGCGCAGTGATCACCCCAACTCCACAACACCATGCACAGTGGACATCGCACAGTGATATATGGAATCGCACAAGGGCAGATTCCACTTCACAACACGCATCTACACAGCCACGGGGCCAACGGGGCCAACGCTGCCGCACAATCCAGTGATGCGGCCACGGGCGACATCAAACGGCCCCACTGTCTGTGGGCGTCACGGGCTCGGTGCCCGTGCGGCCGACACCAGGAGCCCCTCCTCACCACCACCAGCAGCAGCAGCGGCATCAGCAGCGGCTGTGGGGCAGGACCCTCCCCAGCACGGCCCCCTCGGTGGCACGCAGGTTCCAGAGTTGTCAACCCCTCGCCCCGTCTCCCCCCAATGAAAGCGGAGCACGAGCAAGACGCGAAGTACTCCGCTCCCTCCAAAACACAAGTCACGTGGCGGCACGCAGTCGTCGACCGCTCGGATTTTGCCTCTCCTTGGGCTTCTGTTGTGCGCCTCTGCTCTGGTCACATTGACTCGCCAGGCCTCGCGAGCTAAGCATGTTTGAGCCTGGACGGGCGACTACCACTCATAATCAACCAGGTTGCTATCGGCAGCTGCGGCGCTGCCTCGCGGGCAGCAGAGGGCAGCGCAGGGGCAGTGGGAGTCCCGGCTGGAGCGCGCCGTGAGGGAGAGAGAGAGGCTGCAGGGATCGCCCTGCGCGTTATTCCTGCGACCGGCTCCACGTCGCGCGTGCCGAGACACGCCGAGCCCTGACCCCGGCCCTGACCCGATCCTCACCCCTGCACTCACCGCCCCCACCCCGGTCCCCGTTCACAAGCCGCCCATAACACCCCCGCCCCCCGATTTCCCACCCTCCCTTCGCTTCCCCCCGACTGCCACCCGCCCCCAACAACGCCGCCGCGCTTCAAAAGCGTCGCAACTTGTGGCCGCGGGATTTCAAAGGGGCGCCGAGGCGCGGCTGCCCTCCCCGGAGAGCCCTCGGAGAGCTCCGGGGGGCAGCTGAGCACAGCGCCGCGGCCTTGGAGGCCGAGCTCGGGGCAGGTGGCAGCAGATCAGAAAAACAGATTCTGAGAGAGAGGCTTGTCACAAATGCAGCGGTGAAACAAATAGAAATCTGAGAATATCTGTGAACGTCTGAGCTCCGTGACATTGGAATCCAGGGGCAGGTGGCAGCAGTTCGGTAAAGTTCAAAGAGAGATATCAAAGACTGCGGAAAAAGAGAAAAGCGGAATTCCCTGGGGGACATCTGTGACCGCCCGAGAAGCAAGATGCAGTTTCAGCTGCGTCGGTCCGGGTTAGCGACGCAGAAAATGTCTCCGCATCCAGCGCACCACGTCGTGTATACCTCTGCAAATAGCGGTGGCTACACCGAGCAACGTGCTCCCCTAGACTCGCTGTCTCCGTTGAGCGGTGACCCAGACCGTGGAAGTCTCGGAGTGTTTGTGACTTCTTAAACAACCACGCAGCCCTTTGGGAATCTCCTTCAGAGGCCCTCTTAAGGGGACGAGAGGCTGCTGCAAATACGTCTCAGGTCCTCCAGGCATGGGGCAATTCCTTGCCCTGCCAGCGGCTTCATGTGGTCACGCTTGGCCTCGCCATTTAACCGATTAATTATTGCGTTCGTCTCGTTTGTTCCATCTCGCTTGGTGTCGTTTCCCATTTCTTCCTACTCGTTTGTGCAGTTGTGTTCGCGCCACGAGCCTAACGCAGCATTAGCATCTCATCTGCTTCCATCGTAAACAATCGGTTCTCAAGCGCAATGCGCCATGGGCACGCGGCGGCAGAGGAACAAGAAGACCACGCGCAGGGAGTCGCCACGTCAGGGGACTCGTCCAGGCAGGGGGCTGGTGCGACGGGGGCCTTTCAGCGAGAGAGAGGGAGGGAGGGGAGAGAGGGAGGGAGGGGAGAGACCCCCTTTGTGAGCACAAATGAAAGCACGGGCTGAATGCGAGGGCCCTGAAAGGCCCTGAAAGGGGAGTTATTTCGCTGGGTAAACTTTGGCCCCCGGGGTTTAATCGCTGCCACCGCGCGTGTTTGTTTAAACGCGGCGAGGGAACAATCCCCGCGACTGTGGCGCCGATGTTTGCCGAGCGTATCGCTCGATCTGGGCTCGGCTCGCGGCGGCGGCTTCACTCAACACCAGCCGGGGAGCCCGGCAGCGGACATCGCAAACACGCGCCGTTGCCATGCCCTGGTGGTGGTGGTGATGCCCTGGTGGTGGTGCCCTGGTGGTGGTGCCCTGGTGGTGGTGGTGCCCTGGTGGTTGGTGGTGTTGCCGTGGTGGGGGTGGTGCCCTAGTGGTGGTGGTGCCCTGGTGGTGGTGGTGCCGTGGTGGGGGTGCCCTGGTGGTGGTGATGCCGTGGTGGTGGTGCCCTGGTGGTGGTGGTGGTGCCGTGGTGGTGGTGCCCTGGTGGTGGTGCCCTGGTGGTGGTGCCGTGGTGGTGGTGCCCTGGTGGTGGTGGTGCCGTGGTGGGGGTGCCGTGGTGGTGGTGGTGCCGTGGTGGTGGTGGTGCCGTGGTGGTGATGGCGTGGTGGTGGTGCCGTGGTGGTGGTGCTGCCGTGGTGGTGGTGCCCTGGTGGTGGTGGTGGTGCCGTGGTGGTGGTGGTGCCGTGGTGGTGGTGCCCTGGTGGTGGTGGTGGTGCCGTGGTGGTGGTGGTGGTGCCCTGGTGGTGGTGGTGGTGCCCTGGTGGTGGTGCCGTGGCGGAGTCGTGCTGGCCAGGCGTGAACATAAAATAAGAGGGGCAGTGGCCGCCCTGCAGCCCCCCTGGATGTTGAGACGGTCGTTACGATATCACGCACCATTTGAGATTGTTTTGTTGACGAGTGTCAAATTCATCATCGTCGTCATCATCAGCAGCCACGACCGATACCACTGCCGTCGCCACGGCTCGCGGCCTTGCGATGCAGCGCGTTTGCCGCTCGCTGCAGGAACTCACGGTTCGATTTCCAGCGGCCGCCTTGGTTATTACTGCGGGGGTGTAATAACAATCGAGAATTGTACGCCGTCTGCTCCACGGTGGATGTTAAATGTTCCCGAACGTCATTGCAAGGGGAGACCATTGCCAAATACAAACGTGCAAGTGTTTCAGTCTGTATAGCACCAGCGGTAATCATCGCCCCCACCCCCCCGGACTGGCAGATTGATGCCCCCAGGTCACTCGTGCAAGCGAGACTCGTCTCGTCAGAGAGAGAGAGACGAGAGCGGTGACAGCCATCGCGCGGTGTGCGAACGCCAAGTCCCGACCCCTCTCCCCCGCCCCTCCGCGACATGAAACAGCCTCCAGGCGGCTGCCCCCACAGCACCGACCCGACCCAGAGGCAGCAGCGCAACGACAAGAGCGGTCGGCGTTGACGCGGGAGCGCGCGCACATCAACAGGGGAGACAAAGGCAGCCGCCGCGACGACAAACACCACCAGCCCCTAGCCCCGCCGCTCCCTCCTCCCAGGCGGCGCGACAGCCACGCGGGTTCCCGCAGGTGCCCGCAGGTGCCCGCAGGTGCCCGCAGGTGCCCGCAGGTGCCCGCAGGTGCCCGCAGGTGCCCGCAGGTGCCCGCAGGTGCCCGCAGGTGCCCGCAGGTGCCGCAGGGCAGGTGCCCGCAGGTGCCCGCAGGTGCGCGCAGGTGCGCACGCCGTGAGGGCGATGTGCCCGTGCCGCAGACTGTGGGGGGCAAGTGCTGTTAGTGCGCACGCCGAGCACCACGCCCGGCCGCCTTTGTCTCTCCCAGTGGCGATGTTTACTACGCACCGCACCGGGTAATCATTTGAAGGCCGAGTCGACCTGGGGGAGGCCCAGGACCGGTTCAGACAATCGCCACCGGTGTTGGTGATCACGAGCGGGACTCAAACTCTCGGCTTGCCGGGGTTCGTAGCGCAGCGTAGCGCTAACCACTGCGCCACCGCTCCCCGCACAGGTGTAGCCCCCACGACAGCGGCAGCGAGCGTGAGATGAGTCGGGGGACGAGTGGTGCGGCTTGGTGTGCATGGTGTGCTACTGTGCAGGGTGCGATGGGGAGTGCTTCTCGGTAGTGTGGTGCAGTGTGGTGCAGCTTTATGGCGCTTGCTTGCCCAGGACACCCTCACCAAGTCCTGCATCTGAATGGGGTGACTATTGGGATGGACCGTGGCACCGGCACACAATGGCCGACTCTTCTTTGAATGACTTTGTGGGATCTTTAACATCCACTGTGGAGCGGACGACGCGTATTTTCCGCTTAACGTGCCCGCAGTTTTAACCAGGGCTGCCTGCCGGATTCCAACCGCGTGCCTCTGCGGTGTGGCCGGTTTCATACTCGGGGGTGGTGCGTAGCGCAGCAGGAGGTGTAGTACAATGCAATGTGGTGGTGCGGGGCGTTAGCGGATGCGGTGGCGAAGGGCGGAGGGCGAGGTACATGGTAGTAGTGTGGCTATGCTGCTGCGGTGCTGACCGTGGGGAGGACAGTGCCAGCGCGCAGTAGTGCTTCCACGCCTGCAGCAGCGCCGGGCAGAGGGCGCTCTGCTGCTCCGTGTGCTGCAGCAAGACGCCCGCCAGCCGTGGGCTCTCGCGGCACCTGCCCCACGGGCAGCAGAGCCACGGACAGACACGCGCGGACACAAGCACACCACAGACAGACAAAGACGCATCGACAGAAGGATGGATACATAATCAGATGGACCCAGACACACCGAAAGATGGGCAAATAGATGTAAACACAGGCAGGACGCAGGTGTACATACACACGGACATACGTACAGACGGATAATCGAATACACACATGCAGATGGACGCAGCAGAGCACACACGCATCACTTAGACGCTCGCACATTCTCAAACAACTGGAGCCAGATTCAATGAGTCCTCATTAAGTGTGCATTTACCCGCACTCGAGCTCCCACTCTAATCCTGAGAGCCATGGGGGTTGGGGGGGGGGGTTGGGGGGGGTGCCGAGGGATGGGCGGTCCGCACCTGCGTAGAATCATGCGGACGGCCGCGTGCGTGAAGCTGAGGTGGCCGAGCGCGAGGGCGGCGGAGCGGCGCACGCGCCCCGAGGGCCCCTCCAGCAGCGGCCACAGCAGCTGCACCACGTCCACAGCCACCAGCGCCTCGGGGACACCTGCAGATTCACACACACACAGACACTACAGATAAAGGTCCCCTGTGTAGCCTACGCTGCCGGCCGTCTCTGTGCCCTTAGCAAGCACCTTTGAAGGCCAGGACAAAGCCTGAGTGAGCTTTGGCTAGTAGCACACAGGGCTGCCTTTGTCTCCCCAGTGCTGATATTTGAAAATTAATTAAATAATACTTTCGCATTTCATTTGCATGAATCGCAAATGAGAATTTCTTACGTGTAAGGGTCAAGGGTTGTTTCGCGAGTGAGAGACCCGATTTTAAAATTGACGATGGGACGAATGCACCCGCGTGCATGTCCGTACGTGCGTGCCCATGCCTTCGTGCGTGCGTGCCCATGCCTTCGTGCGTGCGTGCCAGCCGAGCGATGCAGTCGGCCGCCAGCTCCACAGTCTCCTTGTGACCCCGCGAGCGACACAGCGAGTCCACCAGCACCCCCATGCCCCTCGCCCGCAGGGATGCCGCCTTCCCGTCCACCACTGCCCGCGCCAGCACCACCACCTACGGGGCAGCGGGGTCACCGGGGTTCCCCATCACGGGTTGACATCAAAACACGAGCAAATCCGGTATTCGTGCCGCCGTGTTTCACAGATGACCGTCGTCTGCAGGTCAATGTTGCTGTGGACCCTGACACAAACTCACAATGGCCCACTAATGTCCACTGTGAAGCAGACAGCGCGTGGTGTCAATGGCCGATACACACTGCAGTATTAAACAGAGTGGTCGCTGGGCTTGAACTGCAAACCTCTGCAATAAGTGACAAACAAGCCCTGGATCACGTCACCACCCCAAATCCAATTCACTCCAGCACTTGATTGCCACATCACCGCGTTCCATTAACCATTAACCATCATTCATCCTTCGGTTCACCACCACCGCCACCACCGCCACAAGGGGAAGCAGTGCGGGACCACGTGGCAGGATAAAGGACATCACTGGGTCGGTACGGCAACCGGGCAAGGAGGGCAGCAAGTGAAAAAGGTGGGAGAGCCAGGATGTCGGCAGGGTGAAGACGGTGACGCGACGAGGAGAGTGGCAGGGTGAGGATGGGGGCATTGCGGGGAATGCCGCCAGGCAAGGAGGGCAAGGATGACGGCGACGTCAGCTCAGCCGCTTGGCCAAGATGCGTGTGGGGGCCAGCGGGGGAAGGTGGTGCAGAGGTCACGGGGCTCTCCGGAAATCTCAGGCGCGGGTGGGCAGGCGGCGCGCACGCGCCTGGAAAGCGGCGTCGACGCGGTTGCGCTCGTGCCGCGAGTCGAGCGCCGGCAGGAGGTGGCGCGAGCGCAGGCCGCCCGCCCGCTGGATCTGGCGCAGCGTGCCGGGGCTCCGGAACGCCAGCGCGGCCAGGGCGGCACCGGCGCCCACGCGCACCGCCTCGTCCGCTGGCGCGGAGCGCAGCAGCCGCAGCAGGCGCTCCACCAGCTCGGCCACGCGGGCGCTTGCGGCCGGCCTCGCGGGGTTTCCTGCGTCCGGCGCAACCGAAATATAAATGCGGATCGACCCGGAAGAGGCGCCTCGAGCACCGTGCAGGCATTCGTGCTGGCGACTGCTGCACGTACACATTATGGGACGTACGAGGATTCCCCCAAACACGCGGCAGTACGGGGGAGCACGGTCAAGCGTACCGTCCGTCTCGCTTGTGCCGTTACATTGCAACAAATGGCAACAACACCACAAGGTCCGTACATAATTTTCACTGCTCGTGAATAACACATTCTCACCGCACGATTGTCTCCACGTATCGGGAGCGTGGGAATAAATTTACACTCAACCGATCGCCGCGTCATCGTTACGCACTTCAGTGTAAACAAAGTGCGTTTGGCCGATCCGGGAATCGCGCACTTGCGCCGTTCAGCGCCGGCGGGCGCCACCTTACCGAGCCACACGCTGGCGAGGGTCCAGATGGCCTCCACCTGCACCTCGGGGGTCCTGAGGGGCCCCGGGGGTGCCGGGGCCGTGGCGGGCCCCACCAGCTCCAGCAGGAAGTCCACGCAGGGGGAGTTCAAGACCTGCAGCTGGTGCACCGGACTTGGCACATAGCCTGCAACCGGCACCCGAAAAGGCAAATCGGGACCAACGACCGATCATGGTAACAAAAAATAAACAACCCATTGCTGAATTACTTGCAAATTACGGAATTGGAATTACAAAAAGCGACATCGCCCCCCTACTGCCAAAACCTGGCAGGAACCTCCTGAAAAAGTCTTGAGCCTCGCTGAAGCTTTCCTGCGTAAACAAGCAGAGTGCTACTAATGATGGTGGTGCACCACCACTACCACCTCTTCATCATCCCATCACCACCGACCCACTCCCACCACGGAATCCCATCCTACCAGGACCACCACCATCTCTCACTTGCTGCCACCACCATTCGACCCCTTCCCACCAGCACCACCGTGGCCACCACACACCACCCCTCTATCAGAGTCGTTATTTAGACTGGAGGAATCCGATGAGCTGTAAAGCTCTTTTTCACAGACGTCTAACCCACCGCCACCATCACCACCATCGCCAGAGAGATTCCCTGCAGCCGCCCGGCACGTACCGACTTCGAGGCAGATTGCCCGCAGCGCCGGCAGCGTGGCCAGCAACACGGGGTGGCTGCGCGTCTGCAGCAGGCGCAGCAGGGCCTGCACCAGCGGGGAGGGGGTCGCCGTCACGCCGGGGGGGCGCCCCCCCACAGCGCCCGGGCCCCCCCGTGCCAGCGCGCTCACGCCCCACGCGCCCAGCAGCTGCAGGCGCTCCGTGGCCGAGTGCGCAAACTCCACCAGCGTCTCGGCGCCTGCGACGCGGCCCACGAGCGGCGCCGGCGAGTTGGAATCGGTCAATCGACTCTCGTCGTAGCGAGACGCCATTGTGGCCCCAGCCGTCTGCACCACCACAGCTCGCCAACACGTTTTACCACGCGACGAATTTCGCGTTTAAAACTTTGCGGACTTTGGAATTCTGTATATTTAAGGTCAGTATGTAATATTCAGACGATTTGCATAAAGTGATATTTCACGGGTCGCCTTGCCAACTAATGCGATGTCACCCAATGCCGCCACTTGACTGATTTGGGCAGTGCACACGTAATTTGCGATCTCACAGGTGTGGATCGATCCAAATCTATGGTGTTTATTTTCAGATCAACCAAATTTCCTATCTAGGCGGCAGTTTTGGCTATTTAATACTGTGGTGGTGCAGTGGTGGCGAGCGGTGGTGCAGTGGGGGGCGAGCGGTGGTGCAGTGGGGGCGAGCGGTGGTGCAGTGGTGGCGAGCGGTGGTGCAGTGGTGGCGAGCGGTGGTTGCGCTGGGGCGAGCGGTGTTGCGGTGCGTGCACCGCGAGCTGGTGGCGGCGACGAGCAGCGGTGCGGTGCTCACCCATCGTGGTGGCGAGGGCCGTCTCGTGGTCGATGTCGCCGCCGGCCAAGGCCCAGAGGGCGGTCCCCGTGGCCTCCAGGACGCGCTCCACCCGGGACCTTCGCAGCAGCTGAAGCATCGGGGCGGCGGCCCCCAGCTCCAGGGCCGCGCGCCGAGCCCCCTCATTCCCCTCCACAAGCCTGGCCACGGCGCGTCACAACCGTTCACAATGCGTCGCTGCGGGTTTCACCTTGCGATTTGATAATGCGCATCGTTTGAAAAGGCGAATTCAATGATCGCTGGTGTGATGAAATTGCCTGGTTTTGGGGGCAACTGTCATCAATGTGGCTTTATGCTCATATTTATTTGATGGGCAACATTGTGATCCGTCCCCACCCTCCCCTACAGACAGACAAACAGAGCTAATGCATTAACACTTTGAACTTTGGCTGGAAAGGGTTAATACGCAAGTCCTGGGTGTGCTGTACCGACATATAACCCACGTGCCCACTTAACTCATGGAATTTTCCAAACATCCCAATGAAGGATCCTCCTGACAAAGAGTCCTCACAAGTACAGGGAGGCGGATGGACAGAGGTGGACGAAGCCGAGGTGCTTTCAGCCTTAGTTTGGAATGCGTAAAAAATACTGGCGCAATGCCGCAAATTAAGGTCACCTCACCCTCGCAGGGCCTCGATGGCGCACAGCTGGAGCTCTCGGGACGGGGCTCTGGCCAGACGGACAAGTGCGGCCGCCCCTCCCCCCACCACCAGAGCGTCCTGGTTGTGCGCCTGTCCCGCTGCGATGGCGCCCGCCGCCCGGCACAGCGCCAGGGCGGCGGGCCCCTCTCTCGGCACGCGTGCCAGCAGGCCGCACAGTGCCGGCAGGAATCCCTCTGCTTGCCGACGGCGCGCTGGCAGCTGGGGTCACCCTCGGCTATGAGGCCCAGCGTCTCCACGGCCATCGCGGCACACGGCAGGCCACCGTCGTCATCATCGTCGTTTTTTTTGCCGTTTGACGCGGCCACGACCTGCGCCGCTTTGGCCAGCGCCGAGACGGCACCGGCAGAAACCAACGCCGCCCTGTGCTCCCGTAGCTCCGCCACCTCCCGGAGCACCTCCAGGGTGTCCCGCAGGGATGGGTTGGGACCGGCGCCTCTGACGACGCCGACCAGCAGCGGAACGAAGCCGCCGGTGGCCACGACGAGACCGCGGCCCAGCGGGTGTCGCGCCATCGCGGCCAGGACACGCAGGCTCCCGACGCACGCCGCGGCCCCGCCGAACGTGCCCAGCACCCTCAAGAGCACCGGCGCCAGGCCCTCCCGCGCCAGCGCCTCCAGGTGCCGGTCGGCGAAGTCGCGCCGCGCCAGCAGCTCGGCGACGGCGCAGCTCACGGCCTCCGCCACGTCGCCGTTGTCGGAGCCGATTCCCCTCACCAGCAGCCGGTGCGCGAGGATCGGCGGGGTCGCCGGCGCCGGCGGGTCCAGCAGGCGCTCCAGCGCCTCCGCGCCGCCGTGCAGCGCGCACAGCTCCACCGGGCCGCGGTTGCGCACGTCGGTGGCGTCGAGGCGGGCGCCGCGCGCGACTAGCAGCTCCGAGCAGCGGCGGCGCCCGGGTCCGGCGGCCGCCAGCAGCAGCGGCGTGGAGTGCAGGCCGTCGCGCGTCTCCAGCTCCAGCTGCTCGGCAGCGGCGCCGGGCTCCGCCAGCAGGGCCTCCAGGGCGGCCGCGTCGTCCTCGTGGGCCGCGTGGTGCACGGGCGCCCATCCCTGCTCGTCAAACGTTCCCATCGGAGTGCGGGGACACGAGGATACCTGCGGAATTCCACGGAAAAAAAATCAGGGGAAGGTGTCGGTATATGGACATTTATTTACAGGAGGTCCAAAAATATATTTCAATTTGACTTCAAGAAAGAACGTTTATATAATAAGTTGTGAATTCCCCAATCCACAAAACCGCCATTTGGGTTCCGAATACCGCTCTAGACGACAGCTACGAGATGAGATGTGCCACTTGGAGCTATTTGGCAGCAATCTAGGATCCCCAAGGCTGTCGTATTTAGCAGCCTGTACTGCCGTAAACTCCACCACTACACCTTAGTGCCCGTAAATGTGTCACGGACTCCAATTGTTTCCTTCACGAACAGAATTATCCAAAGTGAACCGGTCGGAGCTGCGGTCACTTTACAGCACATCTTAGCAACGAGACCAGAACGAGGGTCAACATTCAGCAGTTTGCGGTTGACTCGCTCGGCTCGCGGTGCCGCTGCAGGTGGTGATTATTTTAGCAGAACCGCCGGGTGATTTGTCACCTGCGACCGCTTATATACGAATCTCACTGCAATCAAAACAGCCGTTTGTACCGTAACATTTGCACAGTCCAGACAAAATGGACTAGATCCATCACCCAGAAGCCACAAAAAGGACCCTTTCTCCAGCAAGGGAGAGCTGGGATGCAAAACATTGTTTTAATTCATCATCATCATCATTCATGTTCCATCCACCGTTGGATGATGACCTCCATATGCTATCACCATCCGGAAGGGTTCCATCTCCTGCAAACTAACCGATCTCATCGATCCGCCTCCACCGTGGCGGTCCTCTCCGACGCGTTCCCTCTGGCTGCTATTCCGTCACCGGTCTCTTCCGCGGGTCATCAACAAGCGACATGACAGCATTGCGAGACCCACAGCGACGGGACTCCAACCCCTCGACCAACCTCTCGCTCCCTACCCTGCAGGTCCCCATGAGTGGGATCTTCCACCACGTGGGAGTCCACCGACAACCGCGTCCCGAGCAAGGAGAGCGGATCACTGCAGACGACACTGCAGTGCATGTCCATCGCTTAGAGAGGCCATCGATGGTGCAGTCTCGAGCAAGGGAGAGATGGACGACTGCAGGAAAAACACCACGACACGTGGGAGGGCTCCCCCAATACTGCCCCCCCCCCCCCCACCTGCAGACAGACCGACTGCTGTTCAACTTCACCACAACATCTTCTTGGTTCTTTCGGTAAAGTCACGTAGAAAGGACGTTTCGGCTACAACGCAAGCAGCTGCTTGCGTTGTAGCCGAAACGTCGTGATAATTATTTTATTTTATTATGTTTTATTTTAGTTATTTTATTACTTCCCTTCTACGTGACTTTACCGAAAGAACCAAGAAGATGAATCCCTGCAGTCACGAAATCTTTAAATCGAAATTCACCACAACATTCACACTCGAGCCCCAGTTGAAAGCCGACCTCCACATAAACTGGGAGCACAGCAGGTAACCCCGTGCCCCAGCAGGTAACCCCGTGCCCCAGCAGGTAACCCCGAGTCCCAGCAGGTAACCCCGTGCCCCAGCAGGTAACCCCGTGCCCCAGCAGGTAACCCCGTGCCCCAGCAGGTAACCCCGTGCCCCAGCAGGTAACCCCGAGTCCCAGCAGGTAACCCCGTGCCCCAGCAGGTAACCCCGTGCCCCAGCAGGTAACCCCGAGTCCCAGCAGGTAACCCCGTGCCCCAGCAGGTAACCCCGTGCCCCAGCAGGTAACCCCGTGCCCCAGCAGGTAACCCCGTGCCCCAGCAGGTAACCCCGAGTCCCAGCAGGTAACCCCGTGCCCCAGCAGGTAACCCCGTGCCCCAGCAGGTAACCCCGTGCCCCAGCAGGTAACCCCGAGTCCCAGCAGGTAACCCCGTGCCCCAGCAGGTAACCCCGTGCCCCAGCAGGTAACCCCGAGTCCAGCAGGTAACCCCGTGCCCCAGCAGGTAACCCCGTGCCCCAGCAGGTAACCCCGTGCCCCAGCAGGTAACCCCGAGTCCCAGCAGGTAACCCCGTGCCCCAGCAGGTAACCCCGTGCCCCAGCAGGTAACCCCGAGTCCCAGCAGGTAACCCCGAGTCCCAGCAGGTAACCCCGTGCCCCAGCAGGTAACCCCGTGCCCCAGCTGACCTGTCGTCGTTGTCGTCGTCTCCCGTCCGCGTCTTGTCGTCTTGGCTCTGGCCCCAGTGGGTCGCGCTCAGCGGAGCCCCGCGGCTCCTCCTCCGCCTCCTCCCTGCATCAACAACCCCCCTCCTCCTCCTCCCTCATCCTCCTCCTCCCTCATCAGCCTCCCCCCTCTTCTTCACACCCTCTTCCCCCGTCTCCTCATTCACAGCCATCGTCCTCCTTCCCCTCCACATCAGTTTTCTCTCTCGCTGCTTTCTAATTCCCCATCTTCGTCACCATCCTCCCCTCTCCCAACTCCATCCGTGCGTCGCCATCCCACCCCATCCTCTCTCTCGTCTCTCTCCTCCTCCTCCTCGCCATCCTCCCCCCCCCATCCTCTCTCAAGTCTCTCTCCTCCTCCTCCTCGCCATCCTCCTCCCCCCCCATCCTCTCTCGAGTCTCTCTCCTCCTCCTCACCATCCTCCTCCCCCCATCCTCTCTCGAGTCTCTCTCCTCCTCCTCCTCGCCATCCTCCTCCCCCCATCCTCTCTCTCGTCTCTCTCCTCCTCCTCGCCATCCTCCTCCTCCCCCATCCTCTCTCGAGTCTCTCTCCTCCTCCTCCTCGCCATCCTCCTCCTCCCCCCATCCTCTCTCGAGTCTCTCTCCTCCTCCTCCTCACCATCCTCCTCCCCCCATCCTCTCTCTCGTCTCTCTCCTCCTCCTCGCCATCCTCCTCCTCCCCCATCCTCTCTCGAGTCTCTCTCCTCCTCCTCCTCGCCATCCTCCTCCCCCCCCCATCCTCTCTCGAGTCTCTCTCCTCCTCCTCCTCACCATCCTCCTCCCCCCCATCCTCTCTCGAGTCTCTCCTCCTCCTCCTCACCCCGCACCTGGCCATGGTGGAGTGCAAACCGAGCGGGTTACGGTGGGGGGAGTCGACCCCACTCGTCACGAACTTGCCACTGGACGAGTGGTCACCCAGCCCGCCGGGGGGGAGCTGACGATGCAATCCTAATGCGTGATGGGGTAATTGGCGAACAAGTAATTGATTAATTATGTAATCAGTCGTCCATAAATTACATTTGTGACGATGTGTGACAAGGGAGGGGGGGGTGAGAAATGTGACGTCACATCAACATGTGCAACTTGAAATAAATATAGACAACACGTTCTACTTAATTAAATAGACTTTTTAATAAATGTTTTCTCCTACAACATCAGAGTGCAGCGCCACATTAAATACGCACTACAATGACAATAGTTTAAAGCGATTTGAAGCGTGTTTTATTTTTTGAGGGGAGGGGTCAAAAATCTTCCAAAATCGCGTGACGTAATTTATGGACGTCCCCTTAGTGATCGGGTAATTGGTGATGAGAGCATTGATGAGGTAATCAGTGGTGAGGTAATCAGTGATGAGGTAATCAGTGGTGAGGCGGATGATGATGACGTAACGGGGATGAGGTAATCGGTGATGAAGTGATTGGCGATGAGGTCGAGGTAATCGGTTTATAACGCTGTCATTGGCGAGGGGTTACCACAGGAGGTAATGAGGCAGTTTGGTTCAATTATTGTAATTAGTAATGAGGTTATGCTGTTGTAATTAGTAATTATCGTCGTGAACATGATAATTGTTTAATCACCCCCCTCCCCCCACCACCCCTCTCCCCACCACCCCCACCCCTCTCCCCCCTCCCCCCACCACCCCCACCCCCTGCCCCCACCCCCACCCCTCTCCCCCCACCCCCTCCCCCCACCCCCTCCCCCCACCACCCCCACCCCTCTCCCCCCACCCCCTGCCCCCACCCCCTCCCCCCACCACCCCTCTCCCCACCACCCCCACCCCTCTCCCCCCTCCCCCCACCACCCCCACCCCCTGCCCCCACCCCCACCCCTCTCCCCCCACCCCCTCCCCCCACCCCCTCCCCCCACCACCCCCACCCCTCTCCCCCCACCCCCTGCCCCACCCCCTCCCCCCACCACCCCCACCCCTCTCCCCCCACCCCCTGCCCCACCCCCCTCCCCCCACCACCCCCTGCCCCCACCCCCTCCCCCCACCACCCCCACCCCTCTCCCCCCACCCCCTCCCCCTTCCGCCATGTGCCCGGATCCCGTCCGACGCCAGGGACTGGGCAGGGGTAGCGCCCGGAGAGTACCCGGAGGGAGAGGTGACCACCACCACCGCCGCCGTGCATACCAGATGCTATAGGCTGCTGCGGGGCGACAGTGCTGGCCACAGAACAATGAATTGTACTGTGCTTCTATGCTCCCCACCGTCACCAACCCCTGGTGAATTATGGTCACATATGCTCCGCGATCCTGCAAAGCTGTGATAGGAGGCCGTCATCCAGCAGTGGATTGACCAAGGACTGCCCAACGCGGACGATAACTTGGGGTTGTGTCCACGACGAGGGTGGACACGTGAGTCGACGAGCAGTGTGCGTGGCTTTAAGAGGCGCCCCGCACACGTTCTACAATCGTGGGGCCTGTGGCGCAATGGATAACGCGTCTGACTACGGATCAGAAGATTGTAGGTTCGACTCCTGCCAGGCTCGAATTTTTTATATTGTGTTTTATCGACTCGACGTGACGTGTTGTCTTTATTTATACGGAACGTCATTTACAAACGCGTCGCATAATTCGCGTTCGCATCCAGCACGTAGATTGTGTTAAAGTTTAGTTTCGCCGTTGTTAACCGAACCCGATCTGGCACTGCGTGATGTGCTGCCCCCTATGTGGCGGCGTGGGGGCTGCACGCAATCACCGCGGCCCAGCAGCTCACAAACCTTGCGCTCACATGGCAGAGGCGGTGGTGCTCTTCATCCCGTTTCTAGCCCTGAGCCAGTGGTGGAAATTCCACGTTCCCATGGCAGCGGTGAATGCATCGATGAGGGCGGTGACATGGCCGAGCGGTAGCGCGTTCAAACACATCCTGAATGCAGAAGTGCTTCGATCCGAACCAGCCGTGTGTCGATATTCAACTTGAACGTGCCTTTTGTTTTGAGGGACTGTTTTTGTCGTGTTCCGCCTTGCCCAAGCTAATTAGTGACTTACCTTTTTTATCTATTTTGCACTCCTAGAGTTGTTTGTTTTGCTTGTTATTAAAACTTGCCGACCCATCGCCACTTGACGTGAAAAAGAGCTGCATCGCTCATCGGATTCCTCCTCCAGTCTAAATATTCTCATTCTGTTCACCGATTGTTACGGCGGCCCGCGGTTCGAGGCCAACGGCCGCCCTGATTAATACTGCGGGAGTTGAGGTTTGTGTTGGGGTGGCAGGAATGTATTTGTGCCGAGGTCTGGTGGCACTGCACGAGGCGAGGGGGCGGGTTCAGCGACACCACCGGCATCGCCAGGCGCTCGGCGTGGGGGGGTTCCCGCCATCAGGAGACGCAATGTGGGAGCAGCTGCCACCAATTGTTTTAATGGGCCGAGAAATCGATCACAAGACAAGTGGTCGATTACAATTCCCGATCGACTCGTCATCGCAGCTCTCCCCAAACCCCCTTTAATGAGCAGACGACAGCCCCGTTACATGCAGACATCTTTCGAATTTATTTGAGACATCTTACAAATGCACGCGGTCGTGCAATTGTTAACCTAAGAGCAACATGGAAACGTATAACAAAATAAAACAGCACAATGTATTTCTTCACTAGTGGCGTTATGTTACGGAGAAAAGACGCACACTTGGCTTACATTTGCCAAAGCCTGCTGCTGAAGCGGTGGCAGGCACTGGTCCTGGTACAAAACAGTAAGTGCACATCCCTGCCCCCATGTCTCCCTTCCAACCCCTCTTCGAGGCCGGGATCCTCGTCCCCGACAGCCTGTGGGATGCGGTGCAATTGCACTGCCTGTACACTCGCTAGCCATGCCCTTTGCTCTGTGGTGAAATTATGCAGTGGGAGGTTAAGAACGTTTTTGAAGGGGATGACTGCGCTG